TTATATAAATCTAAATTTATATATTATATATTATTTTCCAAAATTATATTTAATAATTTGTAATATATTATAATATATTATATTTATTTAAAATAAAAAAAAATATTAATAAAAATATTTTTTATATATTTATAATTTTTATAATTAATATTATTTATAAAATAAATATAAAATATAAAATTATTTTTTTATTAAATTTCAAATAACGAATAATATTTATATAATAAATATATATAAAATAGAAATATTATATACAATTTATTTTAGGGGATAGGGAACTCTCCCCCCATATTTAAGAAATAATTCAGCTAACAATTGTTAATTTCCCCATATATATATATATTAAAAATAACAAAATATATTATACCATTTCTAGGCTAAAATATAATATCCGAAAAACCACACCCCATCTTTTTTAGAAATCACAAAAATATGTGGGAAAAAAAATATTTCATGTGGTCAAATAAAATATTTAAAAAAATATAAATAAATATTATAAATAATTTAAATTATAATAAATTACCCCAATCAATCGCATTAAAATCTATATTAAATATATTATCGAACAATTACATATAAATATTAATAAATATACATAAATAATCATAAATATACGTATATAAATATTATATATATTCAATTATTTATATATATATATATTGATATATATTTATATATATTTATATATATTTATATATATTTATATATATTTATATATATTTATATATATTTATATATATTTATATATATTTATATATATTTATATATATTTATATATTGCAATAAGCAAAATCGATCGCGCACTACATGCACATATAATAGTAATATCTTAGGCCGATTTTAAGCCATATTTCTCTTTGCAAATCCCAATGGACACGCCACGATTATATGAACCATTAGATCTCATGGCCCATTTTAAGGGTTATCCCTACGAGTAGCAGCTGTATATTATATATTTTACTTGAATTTTGAATTTTAATCTCACAATATCTTTCATAATTCATATTAGATAATGTAATATGTTTTATATTTTTTTAACAATTATCTTGAAATAATTTTACATTATTCTAATTGATTCTACTTGGGTCTTTGCCCATGAAACATGAAATCCCTTGTGACATCCGGGTGCAAGCTGCCCCTCGGAATCTTTCTACATCTTTCTTTGCCGAAAGCCGATTGTTTCTAACTCAGCACTCCCGTCGCGGGTGGTCGAAACATCAGGAAGATCAGTCCACTCAGAGCTGCACCGAAACAACGTGGATGCTTGTATCTTGCCATATCAATGCAGGTTTCCGAAAATGGGAGTAGCCTTAAATCATCCAAGTCATTAGACCATCAATTAATTTTAAAACAACCATGGTGACTTGGGGATCCTCCATTCTAAGAAACCTCCATGTCCTGCCATTAGACACACACAATTGAACTGATATGCTTTCGAACACCGAGTGCCAGCGTTCCAGCCCCGGTCCCAGCGGTCATTGCACGTTGAAATGAAAATCGTCTTTGGTCCACAGTACGATAGACCTTGGTCCAGCAAAATCATGGAACATGTATGATATAGCTTGGGTCCGGGTTCAGTTGGAACAATCCATGGATTGCTATGGATTTCAATGGATTTTGCAGATTCATGACATAAAATCAAGCAGTCGGAGATGAGAACACATTCCTTTAAGTCAAAAAATACAACCGTCCTGAGGCTTCAAGAGACTGGCGTTGTTTCTGAACATCTCAAGGAAAAAAATCTGCAGTCACTTTGACCATCACCCAGAATAGAATTTGGTTGAACATGTTTGAAACATGTTCAAATATCTGAAACCGCCAGGAAGAAAAGGCCTATGTAAAAACTTGGATCTCGGGCGAACTTCTTCCGAATTGCAGGGCAAGCCCCCATCGAAAAATCACCCACAACTCAACGGGAATCCACCAGGATATTCTCTTTCAATGGCTTCGACCCTTACCCGTGCCATCCATGTATGTGGGAACTGTATGGATCTGTTGAGGGCAATTTCCACACATTCGATGGATGATCTGGGGTTGCGAATAGCAACATACCAAAGCCAACACCCGCAAAGCCCTCTGTACAAAACTTTGCATTGAACCGACAATGTTCACCTAAATTCACCCAACACCACCCATCCACCTTTTGCGCGTAAATCCTAAAGTGATTGCTTAGCCAAACATCAAGCCTGCTCAACCACCGCACCCTGCAACGCATCCCTCACATGCCTCAACGACATATACATCAGAAAACCCACTGGTCCTGGCACTGCGTCCCGTATTTATCCACTCTGATGATGCTGAACTCCAGTGGCTACGGAGCTCAAATGCCTTCAAGCATCATGGCGTGTAATTTCGAGTATACACCGCGGAAAGACTTGATCAAAACATGTATGCGACATGTAAGACTGTGCGTAAATGTAATCTAACGCGATCCAATCTAATAATACTGTAATGCAATCCAATGCAATGCAATGCAGTGCAGTGCAGTGCAATGCAATGCACTGCATGTATGCAACACACACACATAATATATGTCTGAATTGGAAACGGGATCGTCAAATGCCCAACTTTTACCACAGCAGCGCGGTATGACTCAAGGGCCCTAAAGCCAAATGTCAACGGGGCATGTGATCACTTGGCTATACAAAATATACATTAGACAGGTCAAACTCACACTCAACCTGTTCTTCAAGGATCACATGATGCTAGTGAAAAAAGTTGGCTCTAAGGCTTCTTCTGTACACGGTAAATGCACTCCTTCAAGACGCGGATAATGAGGTCCGGGCGCATGCTCTTGGTCAGAGCATCCGAGACCATAGTCCCTGTAGCAATCCAGGTAACAATGTCTCCTCCGCCATGATGCATATCCCAGGTCCTCCGGCCGTCTTGCCAAAGTGACTCGTGAATTGACTGCAACTCAATGCCGAGTCGTTTGTCTGCGACCCTGCCGAGTACCTCATTCGCAAGATGGTCTGTTAAAGACCTGCAGTCTGAAAGCATCAGTTGTGGAATACAGCTGCGGCTGTCATCCAACCATGTTTTCATCGAGGCAAGTTGGCCCATCAGCTCGGCCAATGCTCCACGTAGCTTGTCACCGCTCTCTTGTCCAGCCTGCAGTGAATAAGCTTCGCATTGAAGAGTGCTGCGGCATACTCGCCGAATTGTATTTGATGCAAATCCCAATGGCATCACCCTGTAGGATGTAGTCTTGGGGTCTTTGATCTCATTGATGTCTCCAAGAAAATGGAAACGTCCTTGTTGTGATTTGTAGTTCTTCTCGTTTGAAAATGAAGCATCTGTTACTGTAATGATACCAACCTCTCCCCAGGTTAGATGTCCACCTGGAAAAACGAGCTTGTTCTCAATGCCTTGTTGTGCCAGCTGTACTACGGCATTTGCGTCGTGCAAAATAGCAACTGTCGCTCCAGAAATACTGGACTGTAGGCGGCTCACACGATAACCCAAATCGGGTCTAGTCTGCCTTGCCACCCATGCCAATGATCCCGTTACAGATCGTAATCGGGTCACATCATCCTTACCCAACGGCTCGGACGCTGATCTTCCTGGCGCGATCTTGATCGGCTTGATGCGACGGGTGTTGTCACAAGTGTCTTGTGTGATTGTTCCATCTGCAGTACGCTCAAATTGCTTGCCACAATAGCGAAACGAATTTGATTCACTTGATCCCAAGTTGAACTTCTCCAAGAAGCTGTCGATCACTGACTTTCCCTCAGGAATGTATGCGTACAAGATGTCATCCACATGTGTCGCCATAAGTGCAACGCAATCTTTGTCGGTTCCTGGAAGGAAATACAATCCTGGGTAAAACTTGGATTGTTTCAAGCCACTGGATCGGGCATCTCCGTCCAACCTCAACCAAAAACCTCGACCGCTGTCAGTCAATCCATATATAGGCACCCGCACAAGGAAAAACACCTCTGGATCAACTCCCGGGAGACCTCCTCGGGGTTGTCTCATAATGAGAACTCTATCAAGAGGACGACCTTGGAAATATGCGGATGCGACGTCCGCACTGTGCAATTGTGCGCCCTGGATCGCCGCCCAACAGCAAAGAATGTTGTGAGCTTCCGTATCTGCTGTAGGACTGTCTGATCTCAAACCTTCACTGACTTCGAAATTGCCGCATGATACCAACCGGCTCTTGAACTTTGGCACATATTCTTGATCTGATCTTCCTTTCATGAACTGATTCTTGTCGACATCAACCCACTTGCTAGGAATACATTGATGTCCTTCAGCAACCAACCTCTCAGCATCTTCTTTTGAAATTTCAACAACAGCAGCGAACTCAAGGAACTTGCTCCACCCCTTGGTTCTGGCATCCATGATGTTCTTCTGTACATCAGGTGACGCTGATTCATAGTGGATTGATTTCAACACTTTCTTACCTTGCTCTTCGTCCTCAGGGACTTCAACTTCCTGGGACAAAAATGATGCAAACAATGCTCGTGCTTCTTGTTGTTCTTCAGGACTTCGTTCTGAGTCTCTCTCACGAGCTCTTTCAAGATGTGTTCGCAATTGATGCGGCAAGTCATTCAAAAGTTCCCTTCGCAATGGCCAAGATGATGCTGACGGCGAGGATAGTGGTCCCAAAACGGAGCCACTTGGAGTAAGATCAGGCACAAAGGAGTCTCTTCGAGATGGCACAAGTGATGAGCCTCTCTCCGACTCAGGTTGTAACTGAGACTCTACTCGAGGTCTCACGTTGCGTTCATGACCTCCATCTCCTGGATGTGGTCTTTCAACTCTTCTCTCTGGGGTTCTACTCTGTGAGAAGATGTCTTCTTCCATTGGACCTGTATCTTCCTCCTCCTCATCTTCTTCAAAGAAACCGGGCCGTATATCCCATTCATCTTCAGATACTTCTGGTATAGGAGGGAGTGCTGAATCCACATTGCCTTCATGGACAACCTCAACATCATCTGCTTGTCCTGGACCATCACGAACAACTTCAACCTCATCTGATTGTCTTGCATCAAGAAACGCTTGTTGACCTGTATCATTGATGATCTTGTATGGAATCACAGGTTCACCATTCAACACTGATTGAGCAAGAGCCTCAGAAGGAGAAGCAATGCGTATGTTGTGAGAAGCTACAAGTACCGGAACGTTACCACATAGTAACCATATGTTCTTCTGGTTCTCGTGACCGATCACACGACATGTTGGTGACCAGGACGTTCCTCCTCTCTGATTGTCTGGTCTGAAAGTGACAAGATCACCAATGTTGAACTCACGATCAAACACACTGGCATTGCGTGTCAACGCTCTCTGAACTCTTCTTGAACAATCAAGGTGAACAAAAGCCTTTTGTGCCTCAATCCTGGCCAAATGTTGTAATGCAAAAATTGATGAAGGGTCATGTCGGGCCTGAATGGCTCCGAGCTGTGCATGGTCTTCCTCAGACATGAGTGAAGCTACACCACGTGGAGCTCGACCAAGCACCCACTGAGATGGAGAAAAACCTCCAACACGTGCAGAGTCGTTCTTCACACTGAGCACCTGTGTGATGCACGACTCAACCTGTTCTTTGGTACAAGCCCCAACTTCTGTACACACTCGCCTGAAAAGAGCTTTCAACAAACCACCATGCCTCTCTACTCGGCCCAATGATTCCGGGCTCTCAAGGGGCACATGGTGCACTTGAATGTTGTGTTCATCCATGTACTGTTGTAAGACACCACGATTGTGCAAACCACGGTCACACATGATAGCAACAGGATGTCCTGCCCAACTGAACCAACGTTTGATAAGTGCGTCCAAACAGGATCGCGAAGAAGCTTGGCCTGCTCCAACCTTCACAACTTCAGCCTGTTGAAAACAAGTGCCAATACAAACCATGTTGAGAACTTGATACTTCTGCCCAGTTATATCTGTCAACTCCAGTACATCAATCCCCAAAGTATGGTTGAATGTATAATCACTTGGAAGCGTAACTTTGTGAGTGGGTTTCTTTGCTGATGTTTTCTCACATGTTTCACATCTATGCAACTTCACTGCATCAACAAACTCCTTACTCACCTTTGCAGCACGCACCAAATTGACCATCACCGTCTTGGGGACATGTCCAAAAGCCCTGTGCAACCTACGCACAGCAATCCTGACACGCTGGGGAAGTTTGCGCCAAGACCTACGCCTTTCTGTTTCATCCTCTGGCAATCCAGGGATATCAACATCATCCAAAAGGGTCTCTTCATGTGTCAGGTCCTCAACTGGATCCTGCAATGCAACATCTTCTGGGCCATCGACTGCATCCCAGTTCCCATCATGTTCCAGAGCCTCTTCGATGATCTCTGCTGGAAAGGCAACGCTCATCTGCTCCTCCAATTCACGTTCAAGTGACCAATCACGAATCCATTGACAAAACTCCCAATTCAAAACGTCATCCAATTGTCGATACATAGACCAGTCTTGAAAACCTTGAATGAGTTCATCATCATTTGACACAAAAGCAAGACCAACTTCATTGATGTATGGAATCTGTGGTGTTTTGAATGATTCCCATCGTTCAGTGTGTGCGACATCAACAATGAGAAACCTACACTCTGTGGCATCACAATACTGTTCCAACTCAAATACAAGATCCCCATGACACAGTGGATAATGTTCTGACTTGTATTCAATTGCAACAATGACCAATGTGCAACCTTCAAACATGTCTTTCCAACCGTGTTGCTCAGCATCACCGTCCAAGTACGCAGCATTCATGCCAACGTCATAGGTGTGCTCGAAAAAATCCTGGAAAAGAGTCGGATGCGACGTGATGACTGCAACCCCTGAAGTACCATTGGAAACTTGAGGCTGCATCCCAAGACTGGACTGCATTACCCGGTCATGGTTGTTGAGATTGTTGATACCTTCCAACACCATCTTCCTGTGTTTCTTGCTCATGGTCCTCCTCTCATCAGGATGGACTGTCAAATCAACATTGGAGTCAAAACGTACAGCCATGAAACCAGTGGGAGAATACTCATAGTCATATTCATATGAATCGGAATCATCTTGTTCCAACTTGGGCGTCAAGACCTTTGGCTGGGGCTTCGACTTCACTGCATACATTCTTTTGGGTTCTGAGGATTTCATCTCAACTTTTGGATTCAAAGACTTCTCAAAATCATCCCTTATATCCCGTATTTTCTTGTTGGGGGTCAACCTGACACGAACGCTCATGTATGCTCCCCTCCCGGAGTCATCGAACACCCCAGGTGGGTGGTGAAACACAATCACATCGATCCACGAGTTGCTCAAACGCACTGTTGCCCTGCTATCAACGTTGTCTTCAATGAGTTCCCAGTCGCCTCCATTGCGAGGTCGACACCATGTAGATCGCTTCCAGTGCTTGATGCCATTCGAGACCTTGACAATCCGATTTGGCCGGATATGATCTCGAATCAGGACGTTCATGCGAACTCCTTCCACCAGTGGGTCTTCTCCATCTTTGCAAATCCAAAAGAGCCGATCCCTGTTACCCTCACGGATGCAAAAAGACACAACTTCGCTAAGGAGCTCGCCGTCCAATGTCTTCACTGACACGTTCTTGTTGTCAAACGGTCCATCTGATGCCAAATTGTTTCGGATCAGTCGTTCAAGTTCATCGCGATCATTGGGAGGCTCTCGAGATCGTTGTGGCAACGTTGAAGTTCGAGGTCCATCCATGGCCCCTGAAGATCGGGATCCGTCATCGGTCCCTGGCACGTCCGAAATGTGCGGTGGAGGATGGTCTGGGCTCCTGGGAGCTGGCCTCGCAGATAGTGGCCTCGGCGATGGACTTCTTCCCCTGGATGCTTGTGCATGTCTCCAAGGAGGTAACTTGCGACGAAAACTTGGTGATCTTCTGCGCCTTGCGGGTGGCGACGGTGGCGTCGGCAATCTCCGTCGACGCAATGGACTCCTTGATCTCCTTCCGGTCTCGGCCATCCTTTTGATCTCAACCTGTTCTGTCCTAAGATGTCCAACATCTGTTGCAAGCCCTTGTACCAAACGTCGAATCTCATCAAGTTGATCTGATGTAGGATGTCCTGCAGTGGGGTGATCTGATGTAGGATGAGATGAATGTCCACCTGAAACATCATCGGCTGGAGCATCGCGCACGTCACGGCTTGAAGCCACATTGCCTCGTGATCGTGCCAACCTTGACATGTTCGGGATCAAATGTCGAATTTGTCCCAAGCTCGCAGCCATGTCCTTACATCCATGACAAACTCCACCACAACGCATCTCTCCCCACATCCAGGATGATGCATGAATGAGAACAACGTCATAACCAAGGACTCTGAGACACCTGTAGGCAGCAAATCCTTGTCCCACTGACCTGTGGCGACCTGACTTGCACTCCAAGTCCACCAGCACCTTACTGTCGGCTTCCTGCTGTGTGACGAACTGGAGGATGTTGTTGAGATGTTGGATGAACCTGTCTACTTTGCTCATAGTCTCAAGGATCCCATGATGCCAACCCACATGCGACCTGAGGTTAACGTCCTGATCAGGATCGTTAATGTCCTCACAGTTGATGCTCAAAGTGCTCCTGCTGGTTCTGCACGCATGTTGTTGAAATCTACGTCCACGAGTCATGATGATCACCTTCCTGTCACTGCGCAGTTCTTCATTCAACTTCGTCTGCAAGATGTCGTAGTCCCTCGAATGAAAACCACACATGTCATGGTCAGCCATGGCAACTTCCGATGTGGATGCTGTGTATGCGATGTTGTACTTTCTGTGACACTTCGGGATTTGGGGAAGTTCATCCGACGGTGTGTTGTTGATGTTGGTCAATCCTTCAGTCAAGTTCATCACAAGTAAACCTGATTTGGAACATCTCTTGATATTCAATGGTTGATCTTTGATGGAAATCACCCCTTTTGCTAGGTCCTTCACTAGGCCTAACTTGGTTTGCGCATGCAATGAAAGAAGCAATGGGCTGTTGCCTGTTGACAATTGATATGAATCCAACTCCCCATGCATGTTCCCGTCTGGAAGCAGCAGCGAAAAAGGAATAGATCTCACACCTTCGGTCTTGGTACTACCACTTCCCAGACCAGCGAAACTCTTACAACCGTCATCCTTCAATGGCATGCTGTAACCTAATCGGGCCAGTCGTGCTTCTGCATCGACTGCCCAGGCTTTGCTATGACAAGTGCTGTTGCAACCTTCATCCAATACTGCAAAAACATGGGGTGACTTGGCAATGTCAATAGTTTCATAGTTCATGTAAACCAAGTCTTGAGGGTATTGAGTGTCACTTCCATGCAAACAAATGCCAACGTACCCAGCTAACTCCCTGCCCGAGGGGTCGCCGTGCCCATCTTCATTGACAAGTGAAAAACTGTCCTCTTCCTCTGTCACGTCATTGATGGCTTGATGCAGTAGTTCATGAAGTCGTGCACGGGTCATCACCTCAGATTGGTAGGTTTCGGTAACAAGAGTGGCAAACACGGGCAACAACTCTTCCAACTGGACTGGATTCAATCCATCCGATTCTTCAACCAATGATTCAACAATGGGGACTGTTCGAACTGATGCGGTTTCAACCTTCTTGGCAATGGCAACACGCTCCTTGCGAATCTGCATAGGAGCTTCATCAATGAAAGTGCAACACTTCTTGCAGAAAGTACGGTGTGTTGATTTGCTGGATCCCCTAAAATCGGTGTCATCATGAGGGCAATTCTCAGGGGACATCAACGGTACCATGTCACGCCTTGTTGTTTCGGAATGACCGCACACAAGACAGGTCTTCCTGATGGTGTACCCCGTAGAACCTTGTTTTGTAAACTCACGACATTCCTGACACTTGTTCGGCAAAGGAGGATTTGGGGGTTTCTTTCTGCCAGTTTCCCGAGTCACCAACAAATCTCGGTGCTCGACACGCTCAACAGGGACTTCGCGCAAGTGAATCCCATCAGCACCAACCACAAAGTACTTGTCAACCCAATTCAACCATGTGACATAGTATGGACTCTTGGGGGTATGTTTCTTGGCATGATGATAGTACCCTGTCTGTTCAAACAACACATTCCAAAAAGACAAACCCTTGAACTGTCCAACAGGAAAGATGCACCCATGGTCCTCGGGTCTCATTGTAACATCGAGATCCCGGGAAATCAAGCCAACGTTGCTGCTGGATGCTGCTGCACGTGAAGGTCGACTGCTGGGCTTCGCTTGTCGAACTGCCATCATAGCAACTCCATCTCTGTCACGATCAGGTGAAGCTGTCAAAGTCACACCATCGTCATCTGAAGAATCGCTCATGTCGGCAAAGTGAGCTGCGGGCTTTGGAGCTGACTTTCCTGGGGCTCCCGATTTGGAGCCCGGGAATTTACATTCCGGGTCACCGGCCCAGTGCCCTATGATGCCGCACCTCAAACATTTGCTCTTCGACTTCAGCTCTGTGAGCTTACGTCTCCTCTGATCGATAGTGAGGTTGGACTTCACGATCTTTCCTTTGCCTTTTCCTTTGGGCTTCCCGAAGGATTTGCCCTTGCCACCTGCTTTCCCCATTGCGGTGAAAGCAGCAAGTTGTAGCTGGATAGCGTCTCCTGCCTGTCGATCATCTTCTGCACCTTCAACTTGAAGCAAGCTGTTCAATGCAACTGCTTCGTACTCATCGACGTCGTCAAAGTAATCAAATTCGTTGTCACCTTCTAGGTTTCCTGGCTCCTCTTCTGCAATGTCACCAAGCATGCCAACATATGAATCATCCTCCCAGGATTGATCCACAGCTTCATCCCAAGATTCTGCATGTTCCTCCCCATCATCGGGGTAGGCTGCATAGGCTGCTTGGGAATACGATCCCTTCGAAGAAGGTTTGCCTTTGCCATAACCCTTGCCTGACGACTTGCCATGCTGTTGAGGATTACCACGTCCTGTCCAGGATCGTGACCCTTCTCGCAAGTGAGTGCCACTGTAGTTCTCGATCAGCACCTTGCCAACACCTTCAAAATCCTTAGTGTCTGCACAGGCCTTCACAACGAGGATCTCCTGTCGATTGAGCCCACTCAACTCCAACATCAACTCTGTCCTCAAGCTGTCCGAAAACACCATTGTGTCATCCAACTCACATAGCATGTGCCACCAACGTCGTCTCCTCTGAACATAGGAAAGCATGGGTTCGCCTGGTTGGCGAGATAAAGGACCACCTTGCTTCTGTCCTGCTCGAAATAATTCCTTGGCTTCCTCACGGGCTCTTGGAAACACATGGGATTTGATCTCACCCACAAGTTTCACAAGGCCACCAGGTTTGGACAACACTTCAAGTCCAAGATCCCTAGCTATTGAGAAAGCATCTCCTCTCAGTCCTTCAATCACCTTGTTGACCAATGGTCCACGGTCAATGTCTGTCTTCTGCTTGCCGGACTTCGAGGATTTTCGGCTCGCTCCAGACTTCGGAGTCGAGACTGCTGATGTAGGCTGGGCTGCTTGAGTAGCACCCGACAAATCTGGAAAAGTAACATACTCATCTGCGTCTTCTGCGGCAGGCTCTGTTGCTGTGGTCCCAACGGGATCCGCAGGCTTACTTGTCTCCTCCTCCAATTGTTGCTCATAAAGACGAATCCGAAGGAGAGTCCTGAACTGCCAATCATGAAAGTTCGCCGCATCACCTGCATAGATGTATGATCCACTCTTCGTCTCAAGTGGTGCCGACGAATGGCGTTCCTGATTGAAACGAAGGCCATTGATCGACATGATGCTCGCTCCGTTCGGAGTCGAACAAGGAAAAACGTTAACAAGTGTCTGCCCTGGTCAGGGTCAGACAGATTCCCGAACCACGACACACTCGAAGTTCAGTTGATTCCCAAAGTTACCAGACTCAAATTCACAAAGGGGTTCCCTGGGTCACTGACGTACCACCGGATGCAGGTCGTCACCTGCTCCGCTACCAATCTGAATTGGAAACGGGATCGTCAAATGCCCAACTTTTACCACGGCAGCGCGGTATGACTCAAGGGCCCTAAAGCCAAATGTCAACGGGGCATGTGATCACTTGGCTATACAAAATATACATTAGACAGGTCAAACTCACATATGTATATTTAGTATACCTACAATGACCCCCTCATGTTTCCTCTCACCTTCTATCTTAGTCAGGTTGCTTGTGGATATATACACAGTAAACCCATGTAATTTTACATGGTGAGAATCCGTCCCAAAAAACCGGGCGCCCCTCCTGCTAGCATGGTCATCAGAAGACATGGCACCACCAAAAGGTGAGGCACCTGCCGATCATCCGGCAAGATTTGAAATCAAAATCCTAACCGGAAATGATGGCTTTTTCCCATGAAAAAACCGGGGATTTCCTGGAAATTGTCCATTAGATACACCAATCCATTGATTCGCAGGTGGTTTTTCAGGATGTTCCCAATAATAGTAAATGAGTAGTACTTACAGTAGTTAGAGGCTATAACCCTCCAATCAACTGGGAGACAGTGAGATATGAAGGAATATGTATATCTTTAAACATTTCTTTAAACATTCATGTTCACTTTCATCTTGGGTGCCTTCTTGTTGGTATCAATGATGTCGTGGGTGGCTCCGATGGCACCATGAATCCAGGATGGTCAATTAAAACTGGGGTGACCCGGTGACCCATCGAAGTATGAACCAGTGAGAAAGCAACATCTGTGATCAGTACCATATATATATACCTATATATACCTTAATGTATGTACTATAGCATACTATAGCATACTATAGCTATGATATTCAGTTTGATATTCATCATAACCTTAAACTACCTGATGCATCCTTATTTGTCCGTGTAGTTGGCCTGGTCGAGGGTTTAGGTTCAAGCACCATCGGCAATTGGTGATGTCTGGCGTGTGGTTTCAACCCCTGAGAACATATGTCTCAACTCAATTCATCTTAGCTTTTGGGATGGAATCAACAAAAGAAAATCTTAGTTTAACATCTCTAGATCTTTGTTGCTTCTCTGCAGTTGTTGGTGGCTGACATGATTATATATATATATAGGTAAGTCATCAAACTAGAGGTATTCAGACACACCCAAAACACATCAAGTCGATGATGTAAGTTACATATCCCATTACTGTATATCCCAAAAAAACATGTGTCTGTTGCTTATGATTCATCACCACCTGGGTTATATCCCATTATATATCCCATAAATATCTCATTATATTCCCATTGTTATCCTATTACAGTCCAATAATTATCCCATTAAATGCCCATTCTTATGTAAAATCACCATTCTTCATAGGTAAATGATCTACAAATCGGCCATTCGAAGCTTTGCGATGCCCACCTTCAGTTGACGACTGTCAAGAACCTCCCCGAAACCGATCAGAGGATCGAAGACCTCGCAGTTGCTACGCGTATTTTTGTCAAGGGATACATAGAGTATGTTTGAGGCGTTCCATAACAAGGGGGGTACCCGGATACCCCAATAGCTGGATGGTTTATATTTGTGTTTGTAATGGAAACTCCCAGCTATGAATGGATGATTTAGAGGTACCCCTATTTTAGGAAACCTCCATTTGAAGTGCCCCCGTTCGAAAGCTAAGTTGGTACACATAACTACAATCACTGTTGGGTTTATGGTAACGATAATGTTAGATGGGGTTGTTCACGACCTTAGCTATCTTGGGGGCCACACATTGTAGAGTATATTTATGAAGTCTATGGTGAATCATCTGGGTAAATCATAGTTATATACCCCTACTAACCATTATTTCAGTGAGGTTTCAGTGAGGTCGTTGCAATTTATCCAGATATATACATATCTACAAGATTCTACAAGTTTTGTATCTATTTCATAGGACATCAGAGGTTATGTATCATGTCGATCAGAAAAACAATACAACCATTGCACAAATGAAACGAGACAAGGAGGTCCCGAGGCAAGAGTCTCTGGTAGCGCAATGCTGATCGATTATGAATATGCTGATAGTAATGCACCAACAACAACGAATTGATTATGACAATCAAACCGTGATATAATTATCATACTAGAATAACATGTATATATCAAATAATTCACGAGTCTGAGGCCATTTTGGGACAGTTCCCGCAATCCAATTCGGCCATGATTCAAGTGACGTCACGACGATGATTGAGATCAAGAAGTGTTCATGTTCCCATTGATCTAGCAGGTTAGTAAACTTCATGTTGACAAGCATGAATACTATTTCTTTAAAATAGAATGTTATAGCACCCCCCAAAAAAAAAGTGTTTCCAGGATGTTATAGATTTATAGATGATATCTGCTTCATATGGTTTCCCATTTTTTTTCCCTATCTCTTTTGGGGTTGCTGACACCATGGGATCTCCATCTCCAGCCAGGCAGCACAGTAGTGCAGCCACCCCGCGAAGCACGCATCCGCATCGGCGAACATCGTCCGGATGCCTGGCAAGAAAAAAAATCTGAACCTTGAAACTCTTGGTGCTCTCAATGCTCTCAACCCGAACAACTCATATATATATATAATGTGTATATATATATATACTTGTATATATGTTATATATATACGTATATATATATATACGTATATATATATATACGTATATATATATATATCAGACTGTAAATTGAACATTTATGTCATCAAGAATCCTCATAGGGATAGAAATGATCTTTCTTCTTCTAACAACGGTACATTCAGCATTGCATGAGTCGAGGGCTGAAGTCAGCCACAACTCACCACTACAACCTGGCCCATGGGATGCAATTTTCTTGCCAGGTTGCATTGACTCTACAAAAATAAGGATCATATAGATCTAGAAAATTCTAGAAATATGGGTTTTCCTCCAAACATGGCGTACCTTTAAAATCCAATGGCTTATCATGGGTTCCCCAGTTCTCCATTTTCCTAATTTTGAATGTACAGCGAAATTCGCCCAATTTCACAAACCCAAATACAGCAACCTAAAGCAACCTGCAACACACAATAGACAAAGTGCCAAAACAGTAATATATAAATGAAGCCTTTACATGAATCCGTTTGGTTGGTTGCATGTGGATTCTATTGCTTCACCGCCAAATTCCCAACTCATCAGCCGTCGTCCTTCCAAGCTTGAAAAGTCCACCGCCGGGGCATGGGGATTGCGCGCTGCAAGAAAGGCCACGGCCGCATAGACGACGGCGTTCACCATGGGACCGATCAACACGACTTGCTGAAGTTTTCGCCAGCGAGGGAAGAAGATCAGGAAGAACCAGGAGACTAAACTCAGGTTCGTCACCTCAGCGGGGTTCCAAGGGATTTCCACATTTCATTGGGAAAAGATGTGGATTGCGGGAACAATCGTACACATTTTTTTCATGTTTTTTTAGATGAATCTGGGAGGATTTGGGGAATATAGATATACAATGATATACATTGGACAATCCTTGCAGATTCCCAATGGATTTTGATCATCGCCCATATATTCGCTAATGGAGAACATCAAAAAATGGAATGGCCAAAGACTCGCAGGGATCAGCATCTGGTGAATCTGGTTCTTGAAAGATCATAACGAGACAAATCCAGAAACACCAAGGGCAGGATCATCTAACCTTAGGATCCGTGGTTTGTAATCCATACAGTACATAACCAATACTTCATGCCATAGAATCCAGTGGGGAAATTCCATCAATCCAACTGTTTTTTTTTGGCCATTTGCTCAATGGGATGCACCCCCAAGTTGGGGATATAAGCCATATCAACTATAGTTGGGGTTGTGTTTTAAACCCATATAATCCATTAATCTAACTAGGGGGAATTACATCAACTACTTCCTACTTCAAAGCCATCTGCTCTCAGGCGAAACCGTGAACCTGTTCTTGGATGCCAAGCACACGGGCCAAAAACAGAGGTGCCCTTGCCAAACATCCCCAAAATGAAGACAAATAAAATGACAATAAAATAACTAATCATAGTTCATCATAGTTCATCATAGTTCATCATAGTTCATCATAGTTCATCTAGATTATCTATAGTCATCTACCATTCGGTAATCATAGCACTGGGAAATCCCTGAACTAAATGGACGTCTTTTTCGCTGCCGGCGAGGCCGAGCTGCAGGGAAGAGCTGGGATGAGCGAAGACCGAGGAGTCGAACCTCAGAAAATTCGCACATTTACTCAGTAAAAACCTGGAAAGGAAAGGAAACTCTACGAACATATATATATATACTAAAATCTTGTTGATTAGTCATAAAAAAGGGGTCTATGATGGTTAATCCAATAAACATTACTCAATCATATCTGGTTGGTGGTTGACCTACCCCTCTGAAAAATGATGGAGTTCGTCAGTCGGGATGATGACATTCCCGATATATGGAAAGTCATAAAGCCATGTTCCAAACCACCAACCAGTCACAGAAACCAGCGATGAATTCATCCTGTATTAGCTACCACAGGCAGGATGCCTCACAGGCACCGGATAGGTGGATAGGACACTTTGCTCAGTACATGTTCATCCATGTTAATGCGAACATGTTCCATGAGATAGTATGATCAAGTCTGCCTGCTCAGGCAGGCGTTACACAGTTTTCTACGGTGTAATCTAGCTCCAAATCTTCTCCCCTTAGCTCTGGTGGGTCAAATCTTACCAAAGAAAACAGTTTCTGGTTCAGCATCCCCCAATATTTGATGACATCAAATCACATTCTGGTTGAGGATAATCAAACAACCATCCAACCACCATTATCACCAAATCACCAAAACCATCAAGATATTCCATTCTTATTACCCTCTGGTAAACTAACAAAGCTATTGAAGATGGCCATTTATAGTGGATTTACCCATTAAACATGGTGATTTTCCATAGTTATGTATGTTTACCAGAGGGTAAATCCATTTCAGAACTTAGGATCTCTTAAGGATCTCTTAAATATCCTGGATCCATCGCCAGATTCGCTCCGCGACGTCATGATCCTTCGACGAGCTGGAGTCCACGGGAGCCGCCTGCCTCATTTCTCCCATGCAATGCTCGGGCGGGGAAACTTGCCCAAATAATCACAATAATCACCGGTAAAACAGAATAATAGATGCTAATCATCTACTAGTAATATGGTAATAATAGATATTATGATGATAGATACTAATCATCTATTATTTATCTGGTTATTTAACATAGCCATGGTATAGATGGCCCATAGAAATAGATGGTTTACCGAACTTAAAAATGGTGGATCTTTCGATGGCGAACTGTTAAATAACCAGATGGTATATGATTTTGGTCCAAAAAAGGGCAACTCTAACATAAACCTAACATCAAAAATTGTTTGTACTGTCTATCATCATGTTCCCAAAAATGATTCTTTTCGGATATCCACCCAAAATCCACTGCTTTTGGACAAACCCCATACATAGAATGAAATTGCTACATATATCAACTATTCTGATACACAACTGGGTTACTTTCGATTCTCCCATTCATACATTTTTACCCCACGGTTTCTTGATATTTCTTGCTGGCTGCTTGGTGGTTGAGACTCATCCCTGCCGGTTCAACGCCATCGTTGTTGCTGGATTTCCATCCCCGTTCGATAGCGTTCAGTTGGTGAACATAACTCCAATAACTATGGTTTATGGTACTTATAACTATAGTCACTGGGGCGTATAAACCAACTTATAACTGGGGGGCTCACATTGTACATATATATATATATATTATATATTATATATATATTATGTCCACGATCCTACTGATTTTTTTCCCTTTGCTTGCTAGTCCACATTTCCAGATGCAATTGCTGTAGGACTACAAGTATCACTTCTTGGGCAACCGCCCGCATGAAAGAGGTGTGGTGGTCTGTTAAGGTAATTTAAACAAGGGGCATCATCCAAAGTAGAGATGGGGAAAAACCATCTTTGACACCACGAAAGAAACAGACAAAGACTTCCCATTTGTTTACCTTTGCATCACCTCCACTTTTGCAGCCGTTCTCTGGCATATTTGGACATCCCGAAGGCCACTGATTCTACCATAACTATTTTTTATATAAACCCCACATGTACCCATATGCTCCATGTATGGTATATTTACCTACATAACTGGGTGATTTTTAGGGCAAATGTTGGTCAGTATTCCATACATGGAGCATTTGGGGTATACAATGCGTGGCATATCTATCTTTGCCATCTGGAGCCTGGACGCACCAGCATCGGGAGATTGATAATTGTCATCTTACCCTCTGGTAATTTGTTACATAGCTATTGAACATGGCCATAGAAATAGTGGATTTGCCCATTGAAAATGGTGATTTTCCATAGTTATGTTAGTTTACCAGAGGGTATGTCATCTTTGTTACCATGATTGTCAGTCCGATTGTACATATTCATATTGTGGTTATTATCATTGTATAAGTTTCTCTGAAAATAGGGCACCACAAATTCTAATCATCTTCATGTTCCCTATCAAAATTGCGATTTTTGGGTATACCGCATTTTCATAGGCACCTAAACATAACATGTCTCAGATATTATTAATCAACATATAATATCACATTATTTCCCATGGGATCCCCGTGTTTTGTTGGCTATATATCGCATAAATGGTAGATATTGTCATTACACCCAATTCATGTCAAAATGGCAATCTATCACATTCTATCCAGTTATTAAACGCCATAACATCCCCCATTTGATATGCTTATATACTATATGTTCTATGGGTTTGTCTGAACATTTGTGTATCCTATATCCTCAATCCCAAGGCATTATCATCATGTTCACTTGTCAAAATTACCATTTAGAAGGCATCATGTGGGTAAACCAATAATAACCCATCCCCCAGTCATCACCATTTTTATATGTGGTATAAATCATTCCCAGTCATGGGTGGTTTATGGCATGGTTTTACCCACTCCATATGACAGTCATGAAGTGCCCAGTGCCCAGATGCTTGGAACCGAAGCCGATCCCCAACGGCCCAAGCCTGACACTTGGCGGGAGTATAATTTGAACAAGGAAAACATAGGGATATAACAGGTTATCATAGGGAAAACATAGGAAAACATAGGAAATTCCCTAGGAAAACATAGGAAGACATAGGGATATCATAGGGATATAATATCTGGTTGGTGGTTCCAACCCCTCTGAAAAATATGCTCGTCAGTTGGGATGATTATTCCCAACTGAAAAAATGAAAAATGTTCCAAACCACCAACCAGAATATGAAACATGGGTTGTTTACAAAATCGTAGTTGGTTGAAAGAACAAGCATGACTGTTGGGTTTATGGTACAAGGAAGCATATACAGTAAACATGATTTGGGGGCTTTTACATACTTTTGGCAGTTTTGATGGGGTTTGAGTTTATAAAGCAACACACGTTTGACTGAAGGGCACCACCTCCGAAGGGGCTCGGCTTGTACCAAAAGTAGAAGATCAAGGCAGTCAATCCAATTCCACGAGGAGCCAATGACCATTATTGACAACATTTCAATACACCTTTTGGAACACATACCCTTTTTGGAGGCCCGTTGGTTATGGTTGTCGTGGACTCGTGGACATGTCGTCATGTCCTGGCCAAGGGGCGCTATCAAGGCCGCCAGGAGGAAGATCGCCAGTGGTTTCTTTCTTTCCATGCGATGCTCTTGAGCCAGCTGCGACGAAGTCGCTTGTGGTGGAAGTTTTCCCTCAGAAAAACCAATAGGATCCTGAATTGCTATACGGGAAGTGTTCACTGATGTGCATCCCAGTTGGAGTATCTGGAGAATAGGCAAACTTAGATATACTTACACCCTCCAGTAAATTAACAGAGACCCTGCCAGATAGGGGTTGGAAGACTAGTTTCCACTATTAATTGGTCATTTTCAGGGTCTATGTTAATTTACCAGAGGGTAATATTTTTAATTAAAAACTAGGATTTATCCGTGAACAACTCGACGAGCCAAACATCCAAACAGTCATTTCCCTCCGCAAAGGTCAGATCGCCCGTTTTCCTCGTTTTCCGCAAGCCGCGCAAGGCGCATTTGAGTCACTAGGTCCTGGGCGACCACAACAGGTGGCAATGACCCAGGACTTGAGTCGGCCCCGTATATTAATGGGTGGCTTTTCACATATGAGGGTTTTATCTGTACCCCCCCCAAAAAAAAACATTGGTTTACTACCACAATCACAAAACACAATCACCAGTCAATGTGTGGTTCTCAGAGTCAAATTTTTGAGCCATACTCAACATCTCTTGGATAGTACAAGGAATCATCAGCAAATCTTTGCTGCCCTGCAAAGCCTCTTCAACAATAGATATTATATTGCTACAGGATTATATATATATATATATATTGTGTATAATTTTTATTTTTATTTTTAAGATATATGTTTATGTCGTGTAAAATATGTATGTGCAATTCTGCAGATACAGAACATGTGAGTTCATGGGGATGAACGTGCCAGTGAAGATCTCACGAATTGCCCCAGATCATCTGGTCATTTAACATAGCGAGCAATGGAAAATCACCATGTTCAACAGGTAAATCAGCTATTTCTATGGCAATTTTCAATAGCTATGTGACAAATTACCAGAGGGTAAATTCATCAGGGATAAATCAGCAATATCACAATCCCACTCAAATGATATTAACAATATGATTAACATTGATTAACATGATTAACATGATCTTAACAATATGATTAACAATTTTTGATCACATTTTAATATCAGGGATTAACATTGATTAACATGATTCAAATGATATATTGAAGTACCCATGATACAATATTCAAACATCGATGCTGCATCTGTCCTCAGATGTGCCCTGGAAAAGCTCAAGGCAAAAGTGACTCGGCTGCAATTGAGCCTGAAAAGCTGAGGCTGTGATGGCAGCAGGCGGGGAGATCGCAGTGATTTTTGAAGCAACAACTCGGGGTTGAACCATGCTGAACCTATAAACCAACGAGAAGAATGTCATTTTGAGCCATAAAAATGTAATGCTATCCTACACAAACATATGGTAATGTTCGGTCAATGTAATTTTTAACCATAAAAATTTTCCGAAAATCTATGGTTAACCATAAATATATGGTAATTAACCATAATTTTTAACCATAAAAGTTCACAGTCCCAGTCCAACTCCCAGGTGATCGAAACTCAAAACGTTGACCTCCGCATCCGATGCATCGGGCGCAACTCTTTTTTGGGACACGTTGATCGAAAATCCCCATCATCGGTCATCGGCCTATTGTTCTCCCTTCAATTTAATGTGTTTTTGGTTGTAACATGTGTGCATATATATTTTTTTTTCCTTAGGCATGTGGGGACTGTTCAGTCGCGGCCTATGCAAATAAATTCAGCCAAGTGTCCAAATCAGCCAGCGAAATCGGGACCGATGTGTGTGCCGTACTCAGAAATCAACATGGCATCACACTTCGTCCAAAATTCTGTACTTACATTGGCAGATGGATCAATGGCAAAAGAAGTGACAACTTCCGCAAAGCTAAGAGCTAAGGCGCGGCAAAAAGCTGGAGGATGCTCTTTCAAACTGGTCGTGCACCATCGACCAGTGAGATCCTTTCCAATTGAAGCCGTTTGAGGAAGACTATCACAAACCCTTCCTTTCCAGATATGCTCCACAAAACCTGGAAGGTTAAGGGTCAAAACTGATGTTGTTGCGGTGACTTCGCACCTAGCAAACCCTGAGAGAAGTCCACTCTACTCACTCCAGGAAGGCTGCATAGAAGAATGGCAAGAGGAGTCCGCCATATCGATGCCAAATCCTCCTTGCGGGGCGGAGCCGGATGCTCCAACGCTCCGCAGCCGCCCGAGACATAGAGCATCAGCAGCATGCGAAATGAGAAGAGCAAAAGCTGATTACCCACCAAAACTTGTCGCACTTCATGCACCGCAAGGCTGCTTTTCCCCCAGATTTCGTCCAAGGTTCGAAGAACTCGTGGTTCATGTCCTGAAAGGTCTTGCTGTTCCTTGGTCAATGTCGCTCCACGCGCCTGACTCCAGGTTTCACAAGGCGGGCCCGCCAGATATCCTACCACGTATCTCTGGCGAACTCCTCCAATCCAAAACTGCTGACAATCTTCACGGGTCACATCGCCCCAATGGGCATCCAGTATCACATCAACAGATACAACATGGATGACAACCCCTTCATGAGCACAAGTGACAGCATCAAGGAATTCCTGGAAGTCACCTGGACGCCTGCGCCCGGAAAAGGCATGCAAAACAAACCTATGGCTACCAAAAGCTTGCGGTCGTGATGCCTGTTCAAGGATTTCTGTTGAATTGATGGCACACTCAAGCTCCTCAATCTCAGGCATACTCGATGCTGGTGCAGCAGCGCATAAGAAGCTCCATGTCAGCGGATCAGTCAGAGAATCACACAGCGCAGCAAAAGCACGCACGGAAGCAAACCCAAACTGGGAGACATTCTCCTCTGTGGCATTATGGCAAAGGGCATCAACAGTGCATCTGAACGTCGTCCATGAAACAGGGTGTCGAGTAAGCACCTCGTGAAATGTCTCACTTGAGGCCGGAGACTCAGACTCCAGAAGGGTCTCAATGATCATGGCATAGAGCTCAGTGTCAAAGTGCTCCACTGGGCGAAGTTTTGCCTCTGGCAGGTGCGGTCCAAAACCAGGAAGTGGAGGGAGCAGTCCATTCAGTCGTTTTTCCAAAGCATCATTTTCACAAGAGCCAATTCCTGCTGCTGGCTGCTGAAGTCCGGGTCTATTCTGTAGACGCAGTCTGCAGTTGCTGTTGGCATGAAGATGTGCTTTCAATCGTCCAAATGAATGATATTCTCGCAAACATGAGGGGCACGCTGTGGTATCGAAAAGCCAACGTAGACTAGAAATCTCACCATGGCATCGAAACATATGTGCTCCTTCACCTCCACGACTTTTGAAAGCCATACTACATTTCATGCAGCCAAATCGCATGGCTCCATAAGCAGGTTCTGGTGGAGTCGGAGTGGCGATAATGCCCTCTTCCCGCATGATGCGTAAGAAATCCACAAAAGTACTGCGAACCAAAAGGGCATTCTGGCGCTGCAGGTTCGAATGAAGAAATGCTTTGCGAATGAGTCCTCTCCAATACGGCTGATGGAATTTCCAAATGTATCTCCAAGGTTCCAGATTGGTCTGCGGGTCTGGCAAGGTCGAACTGTGTTGAATTTGTTGCCAAAGCCAGCCAAGGTCGTCAGCAACTAAACGACACCATTCGACGTCATTGTGAAGAAGTCTCCAAGAGAGCGTGTGCTCGCATCGATGGAGTGTCCCCACATAGCGCAGACGCTCTCTTCGCAGCAACTCTGTCGGAGTAGGCAACTCCAATGCGACACAGACCTCCTCATCAGTGCGCACACAGTCAGGGGGCAGCAAAAGGAGCCTTCTGTAAAGCCTCATGATCGAGGCATGCAGCAAACCTTTGGATTTTTGATCTCGTAGATACCAAGAAGCACTGCCATAAAGAAGCCGACTCAGCACGAGGGACTGGAAGAGTTGGACTCTTTTGTGCAGCTGCAAGCAAGGGTTCTGGAAAATAGTGCGTCTATGCGCGGTGAACGTCTGATGGGCCATAGCCGTCCTGCGACGCATCTCTTTGCGGTGATCTCCGCCGTGGTGCAAGATGCCACCTAAATGCACATATTCTCCAACGACAGCAATCTGGTGTGTATCATGCTCAGTGATGACAGTGAGGCTGCCAGAACTGGCTGGTCCAAAATGTTGCGTTTTGAGCTTCCTTACACCCGGCCCTCTCAGCGCGAACAAGAGCTCAGTCTTGCCCCGTTTCAAGTTCGGGGTCATGGCATGCTCAAAGAGCGTCTCCAAGAGCAGGGAAGAAACTACTCCGGCCTTGTGAACAGCTGCACTTGCTGTCTCAGCTTGGATGGTCACACACAAATCATCCATCCAGACTGGTCCGGAATAAACTTCACTGTGTTCATCATTGGAAAGCTTGGTGCCAAATGGGTCAAAACCGTCATCTTTGCCAATGAACTCTAAAAGGGCATGCTCATGAAGTTTGGTCTGGAAAACTTTCAAAACTCTGGCAAACAGAAAAGTGAACACTGCATCCGCAAAAGAATCTCCCGGTCGGGAGCCTGCTGTGGTGCGGCAGACATCACTTTGTCCTGGAACTTGGAAAAAGGTATCCAGGTGAATCGCCTTGATCACTCGTTGTGCATGCGGCGGCATGCCAGCTTGGTGCACTGCCGATTCCTCTGACAAATGTTGGTGCAGCTGATGCATGACATCAGGGGGCATGTTCAAACGCCTAGCAGCCGCTGCAATCTCATTGTCAGAGAAGGATGTACCAAGCGCAAGAGGTCGCAAGACTCTATAGAACGCTTCTACCAAATCAACCATCAGCAAAATGACAGACTGATTCTTGGTGGCAGCCGCTCTCATGTAGGCACGAGCTTCATGCAAGCCTAATGTCACCGGGACTTTCCTCTTTCCTCCAAGTTGGGAACGAGTCATGTAGCTCTCCAAAAGGGTGGCTTGCGTCTGTCGAATCGTGCGATGCAGAGTCTTCCCGATGTGAGAACTCACAAGCAAGCTGCGGTATGCCGTGGGATCAGAAAAGGCTCCCTTTCCTTTATGAGCTGGTGTCAATGTGCCACCTTTGTGTGGCAGGCATTCCTGCCCATGCACAAAAAGCTTCAACAGGGCGCCATAAGTCTGTCTCGCCAGCACAGTGGGGCAAGCCTGGCAGAGCTCAGAAGGCACCTGATCCAGGCCACTGGCTTTACGGCGTGGCACACGCCTGAATGCAATCTCAAGGTCAGTAAGCGTGGGCAGCTCTTCCAGCATGCAATCAATGTTGGTCTGCTGCAGATCGTGAAGATTACTCCTCCACATGGCCCACTGTTGCTCACTCGACATTCTGGTGCCGCCTTCCATATTTCCGAAGAAATTGACCCAGCGATCAAGCAATTGAGCTGGGTAGGCACACGGTTCTCCATTTTCATCATTGAGCATCGGTAAGGATTTTCGCTTGATCTTGTTGGGATTGGTGGGTCCTACATGGCACTTGATCACCTTGAGGATCTCATGCGCCGAAGCTGTAGGCGCCAGTTCTTCCAGGCTACTTGTCAAAGCTGAACGTCTTGCACCTTGAAGCTCACGTTTCAATCGACGCTTGAGAACCGAGAGCTTGGCAATGAGCTTGAGTCGCCAACAGGCCAAGGTCGTGCCATAATGGAAGAAATCATTCAAGCATCCATACGCCTCTGCAGCAGGTTGTTTCATTTGTTGCCAGCACTTGAAAACGAAGAGGAGTCTCTCACGGTTGGCTCTAGAACCAAGAGAATTGAGTTGGCGCTTCGCCGCACATTTGGAAGCTCGCAACTCCCAAGTTCCTGCAGTGAAGAAGGCTTTCTTGGGTCCCTGGGACTTCTTAGGGCACTGTCTTTTCAAGCAGCTATGCAACTGTTTGTTGTAAGCATCAAAGTGAGCAGCAATGTCCGTAGTCCAATGCGGGACAGGGATCCCCTCCAGCGCACTCTCCATGTTGTCTCTAGTGATCTGATTGCGATCAAACAACGGTTTGTCCAGGTGTGCAGGCTGACCAAATGTGACATGTTGGGTCTCAGCCCAAGTCAGTTGAAGTGCAATAAGAATGTGATCATGATCCCCATTGAAGAGCTCAAATTCTGGCAAAGTGGTTGAAAATGAACAATGCTGCAAATCGCTTTCAGGGATGCAGACAAAGTCAATGCAATGCTCCGTGAGTCCATTGGGGGCTCTCCATGTCACAGCCGAGCCTTGATGGCACTGAAATGTGCTAGGCAAGCAAAGCTGGAATTCATCCAAAAAGCTTCTCAACAATGGCGTACTCTTCGAG